AGAAAAATAATCAAACAAAATCAATTATTATGTAGAAGAAAATTACAAAAGTACTTCAGAGCTCCTCTCCCTTCCTCCTGGCTAGATTTCAGGGCAGGGCAGAATTTTGTGTCCTTGAATTCTTTTACAAAGTTATCAGACTGAGGTACAGTATGATTTTTGGCCCCTAAGTAGGGAAATTTAAATATGCTTATGCCTCTTCTCCCATCTTAAATCCTTACAATCCTGCCCTCTCTAACCCATTGCCTTTTTCAGAGCCAAACTTCTTAAAAGTTTACTTTAAGTATCTACTTCTTTTCTCATTCCCATTCATTCACTTCTCAAACCTCTGAAATCTGGTTTCTCCTCACTACTACATTAATTCAGTTTATCTGAAAAATGAGGCAATCCAGCAACTCTTCACAGGGAAATACACTGCCAGCTGAAAAGTAACAAAATTTGCCCATAAATTGTCTCAAGAGCAGTAAGAAACAGAAGCAAAACAATTTTAGAAAGACACATAAACATGAATACTGAAAATGGAACAGTCATAGGACTGAAACTCAAGAAAGAGGCATAATGCCCAACATTAAAGATATACAGAGTAAACAGCTGAAATGGAGACTCTTGCATTTAGACTGCCAAATGTAAAAACAAATAAATGTAAACAGTTTATCATCAAAATAACACTTTAAACTGTTAAGACTCCTTAAATGTACCAAACTACTGTTAGTATTCCATAAAAATAGCAGATGACCAGTATAAGTCATTTATATACACATATGGAACATACTAGTCAGCTGCAGTATTTTAATTGCGATGAAAACACTCTGTAAGTATATCTGCAACAGTATACTTTTATACATTACCACTTAAAGGCAAAACCAAAATTCTTCAGTTGCTTTATTTCAGCATATTAAAACACTTAAGTTTTCCTGGTTTTCTTATAGAAAATACAAAACATTCACAAGGAAATGGCTCTACATATGCTAATAATTGAGCCAAGAGAATACACACTGTGCAGTTTTACAAGGACAAGTACTAAGAAACTATAGAAGCTGCCACTTAATACTACATAAATGGCTAGAAGCCCCAGTATACACCTGTAGTCCTAGTTACTTGAGTGGCTAAGGCAGGATCGCTTGAACCCAGGAGTCTGAGGCTGTCATTTGTTATGATCATGCTTGTGAATAGCCACTGTACTCCACATGGCTAGACCCCATCTCAAATAAATAAATAAATAAATAAAATGGCTAAAAGTTTGGTTGGAGAGGGTAGGGAAGGAGGAAAGCTGTTTTATTTTGGCTTAGTCTTAAAAAAAAATGTATCACTTAGGTACTTCAAGGATTACAGTTACTGAATTTTATCTTCTGGTGCTGAAGCAGCTCAAGTCCCCAAGGTATTCAGTTTGATAAGCACCTATGCGCCACATTCATGAAATCAGCAGTTAGGTGTAAGAGGGTGACTTTGATGAGCATTCCTTAAAAGTTTTAACCTTTAAGCAAGTTTATGTATAGGCAGCACCCTCAGATTCTACATCAAATTAGGCTTCATGAATATGTACCTACTTACATAATTGCATACAGCTGAACATCTCTGCATGTTTGAATTTCCTTAAGTGGCTATATTCATGAACATATTTACGCTTGGTAAGTTCATCTTCATATATTTATCCTTGCAAAGAAATGTTTTCGGCTGGGCGCGGTGGCTCACACCTGAAATCCCAGCACTTTGGGAGGCCGAGGCAGGCGGATCACGAGGTCAGGAGTTTTGAGACCAGCCTGACCAACATGATGAAACCCGTCTCTAATAAAAATGCAAAAATTAGCTGGGTATGGTGGCGCACGCCTGTTAATCCCAGCTACTCAGGAGGCTGAGGCAGGAGAATTGCTTGAACCCAGGAGGCGGAGGTTGCAGTGAGTTGAGACTGTACCACTATACTCCAGCCTGGGCAACAGAGACTCTACCTAAAAAAAAAAAAAGTTTTCTAGTGCTCCCTTAATTATCCAAACCTGTTAAAAATTGAGAAATAAAATAATAAAGAGGACCCTCTTTTCCTGTTAATCATTACTATAGACATTTGGATTTCAAATCTTGACCTTGGGACATTTACTGCATTTATCTTCAGCAGCATATTAAGCAGCTAAAATTATGTAAATTTGTTTCAAACTCAAGCTGGGTCACTAAGACTAAAAAGCACACTTTTTATTTTCCTGAGTATTGTTAACTAAAAGTAAAAATGTTAAAAGTTTTCTCATTGTCCAGAATGAACTAAAGATTTTCCCTAGAGGACAGGCATGGTGGCTCACTCCTGTTAATTCCAGCACTTTGGGAGTCAGAGGCAGGCAGATCACTTGAGGTCAAGAGTTCGAGACCAGCCTGGCCAACATGGTGAAACCCCGTCTCTACTAAAAACACAAAAATTAGCTGGGCATGGTAGTGCCTGCCTGTAGTCCCAGGTACTCGGGAGGCTGAGGCAGAAGAATCGCTTGAACCTGGGAGGCAGAGGTTGAAGTGAGTCAAGATCGCGCCACTGCACTCCAACCTAGGCGACGGAGCAAAGCTCTATCTCCAAGAAAAAAAAAAGGTAATCTGTTAGATCTGTTAGCAAGATTATATAATGGTACACTTGATGGGAATTAGGAACATACCGATATATTCCTGTATGAACTCAAGTCACTTAACCAGTCCACTTCCTAAGCTGTAAAGAGGAAGCTTTGAATATTAAATGCTTATCTGAAACTATTTGGAAAAGCAAAGTTTATTAATACCACCCTGAAGTATCTGAAGCTCACACTCAATTATTTACATTAGGAACTTAAGCTCCTCTATTAAAAGTAAAATGTGTTTTTGGTTGAAACATAAAATATAAACAAGTATGGAACTGCAGTATACAAGAAATCAAATTCTGAGAGTATCATGACAAAAAAAATCCACTGTTTAAAGAGTAAAGAGAAACAGTGGTGAGCTTGCTGTAGCATTAAAGATACTGAACAGGTAAGATAATTGGATTCTAATTCTGCCCTGCCTTTTGCCATCAATGTACAGTGTGACCAATGGCAAATTTTAATTTCACTTTGCGCGTGCCCATTTCCTTATCTGTAAAACATGGGCTAAAGAATTTGTAAGATTTCTCAGCTCTAAAAAGGGGTCACTATGACCTAAAAGATACTCTATTATAATATCACTTGTTCAAATATCATAAACATTAAGATAACATCAATAACTTAAAAATTCAAGACTTAGGGCAGGAAAATTTTTATTTTCAGAAAATTCTAAAAAACATATTGTCTCAACTTTTAAGTTTCTCCATAACTATCATAATTTTACCACAGCATTGAGCTCTTACTAGGTGTCTCTTAACATTAGACTTCCTTAATATTAGGCCAAACCCTAATTCTAAGAAATATACAGGTTAGTCAGGATATCATGGTTGGTCCTTCTTTTTTTTTTTAGACGGAGTTTTGCTCTTATTGCCCAGACTAGAGTGCAGCAGTGCAATCTTGGATCACTGCAACCTCTGCCTTTCAGTTTCAAGCGATTCATCTGCCTCAGCCTCCCAAGTCACTGGGATTACAGGTGCCCGCCACCACGCCCAGCTAATTTTTTTGTATTTTTAGTAGAGACAGGGTTTCACTATGTTGGTCAGGCTGGTCTCGAACTGCTGACCCCATGATCCACCCGACTTGGCCCCAAATTGCTGGGATTACAGGCTCACATGAGCCACCGTGCCAGGCCCGGTTGGTTCTCTTAAGGCTAAAACTGATCTCACCTCATCTCTCACTCCCCTCTCCCTCCCACAACTGCCATGTGTAAACAGTTCACCAGGTAAATTCCTTATCTACACATTTTCAGAATTGATTCATGGGTATAATTAGCAATAAACCTAAAATCTTTCTCAAAGCTTTTGTTATTGTGTAACATACTGCAAAAATACAAATATAGGACGTAGAGGACTACTCCATCCAACTCTTGTAGACTCACCTATAGTTTTAAAAACACAATACTTGGATCTAACCCTGGAGATTTCAACAGGGATGGGTAGGTAATAGCCATATACTTTTAGAGCTCTCTAGGTTATCCTGACACCTCTATTGAAAAAAACCCTTGCTCTAACAGCAATTGACTTCATACTCTTAAATGAGCTACCTATAATTTTAATACAAATCAATGTCCTAATTTTCTTTATTATTTTTTTGAGATAGGGTCTTGCTCTGTTGCCCAGGCTGGAGTACAGTGGCTCAATCTCTGCTCACTGCCCCTTCCACCTCCCTAGTTCAAGCGATTCTCCTGCCTCAGCCACCCTAGCAGCTGGTATTACAGGCGTACACCACCACACCTGGCTAACTTTTCTATTTCTTTAAGAGATGGGGTTTCCCCATGTTGGCCAGGCTGGTCTTGAACTCCTGGCCCCAAGTGATGTGCCCATCTCGGCCTCCCAAAGCACTAGGATTACAGGTGTCAGCCACTGCACCTGGCCCTAATTCTTTTTTGAGAGATGAAAAGCTTTACCTCCTCTAGACATTCCTAATTCTACTTTAACAATGTTTTCCTAACCTGCAGTGTTTCTCCAGGACACTGCGGTTATTTTTTCAGAAGCTGGCCTCCCCAACTCCTCAAATATTAATTTTATAAATAAAATCTCTAAAGAGTGCAGGATTTCTTCTATCTTTATGGTCAGATGTCTATTAGATATAAAGACAGAAAAACTTCAAACTACTCAAACACATGACAAATTATAGAAATCACTGTATTCTACACCTATCACTTTTCAAACACAGGATTTCTTTTTTAAAAACAGACATAGTCTCACTGTTGCCCAGATTGGAGTGCAGTGACACAATCATAGCTCACTGCAGCCTGAAACTAATGGATCAAGTGATCCTCCTGCCTCAGCCTCCCAAGTAGTTAAGCCTACATGCATGCACTACCATGCCCAGCTCAGACAGAAGGTTTCTGAGTAGTTTGTAGTTCTTTTTCCCTACAATTTGTCTTCCATATAACTCAAACTGACAAGGCTATGGCTTACATAAAGAAATATATTATAAAATGAACAAACTTAAGATAAATTTACATTTAAGACATGAGAATACACCTGAATCACCAACCACGAAAAATAATTGAAGAGCTTGAAATTAAGCCTAAGTGTAAATCTCTATTAAGCTTACAACATTACAATAGTTAAATTGAAGGTTAGAAAGAAAATGGTAGACATTGTTCCTTTTCCTGTACTTACCACCATTACTTAGAGAAGTTTCTAAGTAACAAAAACTTTGAGCCTTTTTCATTGTGGTATTCACGGATGACACCAACACATACTACTTCTGCTTAAAAATCAAACTCATTCATCTTGACTTGTTCCCAGAAACATGACACATACAATCATTTTTTGAAAAAGTGTTTTTGTAATTACCATCTGCATACATCTGAAAGACTGTTTCTAACATGTTTTGGTCATTTTTAATCATTCTGTCTAGCCTTTCTTTGATATGAGGATCTATTTTTTATTCACTCCTAACATAGAGGTGAAGTGCATACCTTCAATGACGCAAAGTAACTAGTTAATTTTGTTTCAGAATAACGTGCAAAGGAAAGGGAGGAAACAGCCCTAAGTATATCAGTATTTTTACACATCAGACACCTTCAGGAAGAAAACACATTTCTCATCTTAGTGTGATAGACTCTGAAAAAGAACACACAGCATTGTTTCAGTGGCACAAGAAAAAAAGTACAGTTCATTTTGAGATACCGTGCGAAATCACTCAAAAGACAAGTAACTTTGGTTTCAGTCACTTAGTTAAAAAAAAAAATTTATCCATGACCGATGTTACTCTGGAACCTACTGCCAGACGTCAGAAGGCTTATCATTAATAATATCCTACCCCTCCCCACTTTTCTGAGACACGGGCTCGCTCTGTCGCCCAGGTTGGAGCACAGTGGTACGATATTGGCTCACTGTAGCCTCAACCTCCTGGGCTCAAGCAATTCTCCCACCTCAGCCTCTAGTGTAGCTGGAACTACAGGGGTACGCCACCATGCCCAGATAATTTTTTTATTTAATGTTTTTGTAGAGACGGTACGGGGTCTCCGTATATTGCCCAGGTTGGGCTTCAACTCCTAGAATCAAGCTATCCCCCTGCCTCTACCCCCAAAGTGCTGGGATTAAAGGCATAAGAGACTGCACCCGGCCAATATCCCCTTTGAACATCTGCTTTCGCTGGTTGGTAAAAAAAAAAAAAAAAGTGTCATTTTAAATTTAGTGTTACTCCTTCAGGCTGCTCCGTCTCTTTTCTTACTTGCAGGGCCAAAGCAACGTCTCTTTCCAGCTTGGCCACCTTCCAACAACGATTTCTTCGGACGCCTTTGTTAATCATTCCTGTATGAAAAATCAGTGAATCTGAAACCTTGGGGAGAGGGAAGGGGGGTTGGAAAACAAACGGCAAAACAAAAAAGGATTTGGGAGGACTACCCCAACTCCGTGAGTGGAAATGGGCTTCTCCGAATAGAGGCGAGGGTCGCCGCCTGGGGTCCTCGCACCTCAACAAAAGACAACAACTCTCTCAACTGTATTGTTAACCGATCTAAATGATACTCCAAGCCCAAAAGTACACCGACTCTCTCAATCTCTTAGTTAAAAAATGGAGAAGGAAGCGTAGGGCCCCATGCAACGCCTTCAGGAGCTGAGACCGAGGCTAACTGGGCCTCTTGATGCGGCTTTCAGTTGGTCCCGCCCTACATCAGTCCCCAGCACGGCCTCCACCTTCTGGTTCCCAGGTTCGTGCCCGCGGCTATCCGACCAGGTCGTCCTCCACCTCACTGTCCCCACTGAACCACCACTTGACTCCCGCATACCCCTAAAACCTCTGCCGGGCTCCGCGGAATCTTCCCAGTATTCCCAACATGGCGGCCGAGTCCCCTTTGCTCCTTCACTCTGGGCGCGTCCGACTTTGGAGCATTTTGGGCATTGTAGTTCCGGCGATTGCCTCGGTGTCCCTCCAGGACGTAAGAAGACTACAGTTCCCAGAAAGCACCGCCCCTGAGCATGGCTATTGGGGACGTTTGGACAGAGGGATGATGTCATTGCAAAAGCCCCACTGCATTCATTGTGCTACGGTCTCTCCACCCCCTGCTGCTGCTGGGCTTGCGATTGCCGCTCGCTCCAGCTGAGCTAAGAGTAGCAGCAGCACCAGGGCAGGGACTGACTCCAGCCCGTGGACTCAGGACATCGCAGACCCTGCCTTGCGTGCGTGACTCATTCGCACATCATTTCTGTTTATGCCTGGGGTGGGGAGAAAAATCCCAAACCAGGTGAGTTGAAGTGATTTATTCAAATGCTTCTACCAAGTTATTCCTCCCGCTTAGTTCTCAAGGTTTTCTTTTGGGAAGCTGTGAGCGGTGGGGAGGTGGGGGGGATTGGGGAGAGGCTCGCAGGCGCTGCTAAGGGGAAAAGCTCTGTGCAATTTGGGTCACTGCAAAGAACAACTCCAGCAACCTTCCCCCGCCAGAGGACGGGTGCCTGCCAATTCCCTAGTCGCAACTCCTCTCAACCTTTTGGAGACGGGGTGAGGGGGCTGGGCTAGGAAGGGTGTTGGGAAGTGCTCTTGGAAAATCAGAGGAAGGCAGAGGTGGGGGACTGCAGTCCTGTCACACACGGCCCGAGAGCTGAGGTTTGAGTGGGAAGGGGTGATGCGTGGGGAGAAATGGAGACAGTGATTTAATGTGGTCGCACTACTTTAGAACATTTGTATGCCGCTTGGACGAGCACTAGTTGTTAATTTTTAAGATGAACGTGCTTAAGTTTTGTGGGGCTTTATTATATGTGTGTCTGTCTATGTCGTTTGTCTCGCCTTTTCTGCTGATTTGAGGTGACAGTGTCCTTTAATGGTGCACTCCGTGCCAGTCAGAAACATTTCACGTGTCTGACGAAGGTTCTTTGAGGCTGCTGGAAGCAGCGTTTTTGTTAAATGTTTTCCGTTCTCCGACTGCTGGATTCAAGATTGTTTGGAAGTGGAGCCGACAGATTTGTGCTTGTGTGTTTTAAATTACATTGCATAGGCTCTTTGCCACTGACAATGGTACCATAATGAGCTGCTGTTTCCTGAGGCATAGTCACTACTCACAAATAACGGTTTGAAGAGATCGATTAGGGAAGCCGGGTTCCTTTTAACACATTAGAGAAAGGGAAAGTTAGAAGCGCTGTTAACCTTCATTTGGCATTACTGAAAGGTGCCCATGGAAGAGTAATTTTGGTCAGGGGAACCAAGGAGCATAGTAGTTGTTTTGTTATTGTTGTTTTTTAAAACGAACTGACATTTAACAGGACAGAAAGCATTCTGATTTATATGATGCTCTTGTAAGAGTTATAGGGATAATTAAGGCAATAAATATGTTCCTTTGAGATAAACAGCTGGCTGGCTTCACAACAGATGGGGCCAGTCTTAGCTGAGAGATCTACAACCTTGGAAATGAATGGACCTGGGGTCAACCACACCCCCTCTTGGAATGTCAAAAGAAGGAGAAATGCCAGAGTATTTGCTTAACTCTAGAATGCTAAACCTTTTCGTAGCTGAGTCAGACATAAGGGAAAGTCTTTACTGGTTGTCTTCTGCTGCTAAGCCAATTTTATTCATTTTAAATTCAGACCCTTAGGTCTCCAAAGTTGTAGCTATGTGATATTTCGTTAAACGCTGCTTGATGCTGAATGCAAAGGACAGTCCATTGTATGGGCTTTGTAGTAGAGTGATTTATTGGGATGCCAATGAGCAGCTTTTGGATTTGGGAAAAGATCAACAGTCAGCCTTTGCCTCTATGTCTCTCTGTTGATAACTCTCTGCTCTTCTGGACACCCTACCCTTCTCTCCTGTACTTTCCTTTCTTCCCCCCACCCCACCCCACCCCACCCACATCTCTTGAAATGCTGTTTATTTCCCTATCTCTCCATATTCATTTACAGTTTTTCCTTTGTATTTCAAAATCCCTCCCTTATCACCAGCATATCACATCTCTTTCTCTCCATCTCTCTCCAATCTCAGAACACCCTCCCTGGTCCTCCTTCACTTCACCTGGGAACTCCTGGGTGGATGTAGACTATGTGAATATTTTTGCTGAATCCTCTTTGAGGAGAATTTCTTTGCCTTTTCTGTTTCTTGCAGTCTGTGCTTGGCAGGATGAGCAGCAATGAGCCTGATCCCTGGTCTGGTTTGTAGTTTCTGTGACAGACATAATTTAGCCCCAGCAGCGTGTGACAATGAAATGCTGCAGTTGGGCTCATGCCACTTTTCCTTTCACTGGCACCTGTATTAGGAACTGCCTGTGGGTTAGCCAGGTTTTTAAATGCTCTACATGAAATGTTCTCATAATTCCCAAGGCATAAGTAGTCTTCAAATGGCTTGCCTTATATAATACATTTTTTTCCCCTCATCCTTGCTGCAGCTGGTGGTGGGAAGGCTGTTCTTTACCCCCTCTTCTTTCCTATTCCCTGTGCAATCCAGGTGGCCAAACTGCCCGTTTGGTTTTTTGAAGATACTTGGAGGACAACAGTTCCACTGCCCCCACCCCCACCCCCCACCCGGTTGTTTCTTCTCCTTTGTGCAGGAAAGAAGTTTGTTATTTTATACTCTTCTCTTAAGGGGAAGAGTGTGATAGTGGCTATATTTGTTTATGTAACAGCAGTGCTCTTCTAGGTGTGGAAAGTCTAACTGCTATCCATCTGGAGGCAACTAGTGTGACAGGCAGATTCAGAAGCTGTCCTCTTAGACCTTTTATGCACCATCTTCTCATAACTTATTTTCTTCTTCTGAAATACTTCCTTACTCACCAAGGTTTCTTTTATTGTCCCAGGGAGGAGAAATGGGCTGAATGCAGCATTAGATTTGGCCTCATCACTGCTGTCTCTGTGACCTTAAATAACTATTCATTTCTTTCTGCTTCAGTTTACTTATTTGCAAAGGGATAATGATCCTTGCTCTTTGGTTTACTGATGTTATAGCCCTCTATAATATGGCCCCAACCTATAATTCTGACAATTTATATTGATTGAGCAGCTACCATGGGCTAAGCACTGTGGCTACATCAGTGAGAAGAAATGCTTCCCCTGACCTCATGGAGCTTATATTCGAATAGGGGATATACTTAATAAATAATTGCAAGTGTGATGAATGCCATTTCCAAAAGGGTTGAGTAGGAGTGCCTGACATGGTACTTTCCCCTTGTCTGGGGTTATCAGGAAAGATTTCCTATAGGAAGTGACACTTGAAGAGACTTGGAGGGTAAGTGGAAGCAGTAATTCAGGATGGCAGTGGGAGATGTTTATAGTGGGACAAAGGTCTCTGGCAGAGGGAACTTCATGTTCAAAGTTCAAAGGGAAGAGTGGTGAACCTGAGGATTTGAAAGGAAGTTAGAGACAGAGCAAGAGGAGAAAGACTAGAATGAAGAATGAGGCTGGAGAGGTGGGCAGAGGCTAGAGAGTAGGCAGTTCTCTGAGCTACAGGTGAATTTTGGTCTTTATCCTAAGGGTAATGAGAACCTAGCCCGGCTTTAATAAACTAGATGAATGGCATATGTAGGATGATATTAAAGTATTATCCTGGCTGTTAAGTGGAGGAGATTGAAGGGAAGACTTGGTCAGAGTCAATGTCTAGAGACCAAGTAGCAAATAATTTTTGTTGTCTGTATGAGGGATAATGGTGCTTAGATCTAGAGTGGTGACAGAGGGTTTAGAGAGACACTAGTTTGTTGTTGTTGTTGTTGTTGTTTTATTTAGTTTTTTGAGACGGAGTTTTGCTCTTGTTGCCCAGGCTGGAGTGCAATGGCATGATCTCGGCTCATTGCAACCTCCACCTCCCAGGTTCAAGTGATTCTCCTGCCTCAGCCTCCCTAGTGGCTGGGATTACAGGTGCCCGCCACCATGCTCAGCTAACTTTTGTATTTATTTATTTATTTTTGAGACAGAGTCTCACTCTGTTGCTCAGGCTGAAGTGCAATGGTGCAGTCACAGCAGCTCACTGCAGCCTCCATCTCTGGGTTCAAGTGATTCTCCTGCCTCAGGCTCCCAAGTAGTTGAGATTACAGGCACCCACCACACCTGGCTAATTTTTGTATATTTAGTAGAAATGGGGTCTCACCATGTTGGCCAAGCTGGTCTCTCAAACTCCTGACCTCAAATGATCCACCCACCTCAGCCTCTCAAAGTGCTGGGATTACAGTCGTGAGCCACCGTGCCTGGCAACTTTTGTATTTTTAGTAGAGACGGGGTTTCACCATGTTGGCCAGGCTGGTCTCGAACTCTTGACCTCAGGTGATCCACCTGCTTCAGCCTCCCAAAGTGCTGGGATTACAAGCATGAGCCACCATGCCTGGCCGACACTAAGTTTGAAAATTGTAATTCATAAGATTTGTTGATTGATTGGATGGGGGAATAGGGAGAAAAGGGAGTCATGAAATGACTTGAGTTTTTTCTTGAGCAACTGGGGATGACGTTTTCAGGGAAAGAGACCACTGAATGGGAACCAGATCTTTTTGTTTTCCAGAAGGGAGGACCCTTGGACATGCTGAGTTTGAGGTTCCTGGAAGACATCTAAGATCTTTCACTCTTCCTGTCCCTGTGTGGGATGTGGCATGATGGAGTAGAAGAGAGCTCTGGATGAGGCTTTCTCACACTGAGCACTACTTATTTATTAGCTGTATGATGTTGGACATATTACATTTTTTTCCTGAGCTTTAGTTTCCTCATCTGTACAATTTATTCCACTAATTTATACTTATCCCCAGCATGGAAAACAACAGTATACTCAATTTACTTATTTATTATAACAGTTTTCCATGCACTATGCTAGGAAAACAACACTGAATAAGATACTGTTTACTTTGGAGGAATTCACTCAGTTGAGGGAGACAAACATAAATAATCATGTACAAGGAGGTACTTTGGCAATA